AGAGAAGGTGTGCTTGTGCTGAAACGAACACGAGGCCCTTTTGTGTCTCTGTGTGTGTTCGCGCGCGCGCGCGCTTAAAGTAGTGTGCATTTTGTGAGCAGGCCTTACATTGACATTTAATGATGGCTATTATTTATCAAAAGTAAACACTTGTTTTCCACGCCTTTAGGTGTATTGGGCATATAGTACTCGACCTGTATCGTATAGACCAATAGTAACTTCTGGTGGGTGATGTGGACAACATCACGCCGGCCGCCTTTACTTCCCAGGACTGCACCTGGTACCCACTCAAGGCTGGGTCGAATTATTATTGTTGTTAGTGAATATGTTAATGTTAATTGGTGGGAACTTTTTTTTGGGAAGCGACGGTGTGATGGTTTTACTGACAAAAGATGAGAATATCCGGTGCAGTTGAAAAGGGCTAACGATGATGTGAAAGATATGAACAGCAAAGAAGACTGATTGCCCACATCAGAAGGGGACAGTCTACTTTCTGTGATCTCGTTGTGAGAAGGAGAAAACTGGAGACTATCTTAACAGCGGGAAAGTTAGCGAGGGAAAGAAGCAGAGAGAGAGAGAGACCGAGAGAGACAATGCTGGACAGAGCCGAGTAGATGATAGCTGGAAAGAGAGAAAGAGACCGAGAGAGACAATGCTGGACAGAGCCGAGTAGATGATAACTGGAAAGAGAGAAAGGCGGCTGTACAGTCCAGTCGTTAGATTTTGGGAGACAGGCACTGTTGTTAATGACGCCTAAGCTCGAGCGCCACCCCCCCCCCCTTTTTTTTTCACCATAACTCCTACGTTTCCACCATAACTCCCACGTTTCCACCATAACTCCCACGTTTCCACCATAACTCCCACGTTTCCACCATAACTAACTCCCACGTTTTCACCATAACTCCCACGTTTTCACCGTAACTCCCACGTTTCCACCATAACTAACTCCCACGTTTCCACCATAACTAACTCCCACGTTTTCACTATAACTCCCACGTTTCCACCATAACTCCCACGTTTTCACCATAACTCCCACGTTTTCACCATAACTCCCACGTTTCCACCATAACTAACTCCCACGTTTTCACCATAACTCCCACGTTTTCACCGTAACTCCCACGTTTCCACCATAACTAACTCCCACGTGTCCACCATAACTAATTCCCACGTTTTCACCATAACTCCCACGTTTTCACCATAACTCCCACGTTTCCACCATAACTCCCACGTTTCCACCATAACTCCCACGTTTCCACCATAACTCCCGCGTTTCCACCATAACTCCCACGTTTCCACCATAACTCCCACGTTTCCAACATAACTCCCACATTTTCACCATAACTCCCACATTTTCACCATAACTCCCACGTTTTCACCATAACTCCCACGTTTTCACCATAACTCCCACATTTTCACCATAACTCCCACGTTTTCACCATAACTCCCACGTTTCCACTATAACTAACTCCCACGTTTTCACCATAACTCCCACGTTTTCACCATAACTAACTCCCACGTTTTCACCATAACTCCCACGTTTTCACCATAACTCCCACGTGTCCACCATAACTAACTCCCACGTTTTCACTATAACTCCCACGTTTCCACCATAACTCCCACGTTTCCACCATAACTCCCACGTTTCCACCATAACTCCCACGTTTCCACCATAACTCCCACGTTTCCACCATAACTCCCACGTTTCCACCATAACTCCCACGTTTTCACCATAACTCCCACGTTTCCACCATAACTCCCACGTTTCCACCATAACTCCCACGTTTCCACCATAACTCCCGCGTTTCCACCATAACTCCCACGTTTCCACACCATAACTCCCACGTTTCCAAACATAACTCCCACATTTTCACCATAACTCCCACATTTTCACCATAACTCCCACGTTTTCACCATAACTCCCACGTTTCCACCATAACTCCCACATTTTCACCATAACTCCCACGTTTTTCACCATAAACTCCCACGTTTTCCACTATAACTAACTCCCACGTTTTCACCATAACTCCCACGTTTTCACCATAACTCCCACGTTTCCCACCATAACTAACTCCCACGTTTTCACCATAACTCCCACGTTTTCACCATAACTAACTCCCACGTTTTCACCCCATAACTCCCACGTTTTCACCATAACTCCCACGTTTTCACCATAACTCCCACGTTTTCACCATAACTCCCACGTGTCCACCATAACTAACTCCACGTTTTCACTATAACTCCCACGTTTCCCACCATAACTCCCACGTTTCCACCATAACTCCCACGTTTCCACCATAACTCCCACGTTTCCACCATAAACTCCCACGTTTCCACCATAACTCCCACGTTTTCACCATAACTCCCACGTTTCCACCATAACTCCCACGTTTCCACCATAACTCCCGCGTTTCCACCATAACTCCCGCGTTTCCACCATAACTCCCACGTTTCCACCATAACTCCCACGTTTCCACCATAACTCCCACATTTTCACCATAAC